GGAAAGAGTTGGGGAGGGGGATGCATTTTTTAATAAGCCAAGTAGAATAAGAATAATTTATTTATTTTGGGGGATAGATGAGGAATTGAAAAAGAATTTAGTGCTAGCATTGATGTAACAGGAGGCAACTGGGAAGCTCCAGCCAAACCCATGGCCTTGCCATGCTTGGGCAATGTGTGCAGGAAGAAATGTTCTGCAGAGATAATGAACTAGGTGCGGGGGGATAGCTGGAGGGAAGAGCTGTCCTTACCACAGGTGGATGTGGAGCCCAGGAGTTCCATCCTGGTCTTGCTGTGACCTGTTGCAGCTGTTGGAGAGCTGGTGGGAAGGGGGAGCTTTAGTTCCTCCAGAGCTGCCATGTATGCATCCTCTCTTGGCTGAGCCCTGTGTCCTCTGCGGTGGTCTCCTTTGCCAGGGGCCTCTGCAGGTGCTGCACCCATGTCCTGGGGAAGCACATACCAGTGCGCAGTGTTTCTGAATTAACTCACAGTCTGGGAAGAAGGGAACCCAAATCCCTGGCTGGGAGAAATTAGGTGTGGGACCTTGCTGGGGGGGGGCCCCCCACTGTCACCCCCCAAAGTGACCCCAGGGTGGTGTGGTGTGGAAATCATAGAATTGTTAAGGTTGGGAAAGATCATCAAATCCAACCATCACTCCAACATCACCATGCCCACTAAACCATGTCCCTAAGTGCCACATCTACGTGTCTTTTAAATCCCTCCAGGGATGGTGACTCCACCACTTCTCTGGGCAGCCTGTTCCAATAACTGAGAACCCTTTCAGTGAAGAAATTCTTCCTCACATCCAATGTAAACCTCCCTTGGCACAACTTGAAGCCATTTCCTCTTGTCCTGTCACTCGTTACTTGGCAGGAGAGACTGACACCCACCTCACTACAACCTCCTTTCAGGAAGTTGTGGAGAGCGAGAAGGTCTCCCCTTATGCTGTGGCTCAGCACGGTGGGTGGGAATTTCAGCCTCACACCTCTACATCAGCATCTCTCCCTTTCAGGAAAGCACTGCTCAGCCATTGCAGGGACTTGCAGGAGGCTCTTGCTTGGTACATATTACAGATCCCTCTTCTGAACCAGCTGCAGATTTAGCCCCAAAGGTTATGGAGAGGTGCAGTCAGTGCTGAGCAGCCTCTGGACTTGCCTGCCCTGGTTTCCCTGCCTCTCTTCAGCAGCAGGCACCACTCCCACTCTCAGTCCAACCTGTTTTTTGGTGCAGGTATGAGGATGATGATGCCATTTACCAACACAGATCATGGTGAATGCATCACAGAATGGTTTGGGTTGGAAGGGACCTTAAAGCTCATCCAGTTCCAACCCCCCTGCTATCAGCAGGGACACCTTCCACTAGACCAGGTTGCTCAAAGCCTCATCCAGCCTGGCCTTGAACACTTCCAGGGAGGAGCAGCCACAGCTTCTCTGGGTAACCTGGGCCAGTGTCTCACCAGCCTCACAGGAAAGAATTTCTTCCTGATATCTCATCTAAACCTCTCCTCTTCCAGTTTGAAGCCATCACCCCTTGTTCTGTCACTCCCTGCCCTTGTCAAAAGTCCCTCCCCAGCTTTCTTGTAGACCCCCTTCAGGTACTGGAAGGCAGCTATAAGATGTCTCTGGAGCCTTCTCTTTTCATCTAAGGGAAAAACCATTGCTTGGTGCACCCTTCCCTGGAGACACTCTTGGAGCTCATTCAGCTGCTCCCTTTGGATTCATGTTTGAATTCATGTGCAAGACTAAAAAAGCAGCATGGTTTTGGCATCCAGCAATCACTGCACCTGGTGACACTGGATTTTCATCTGCATCTTTGGGCTATGACCACATCTTGTCCTCTCGCACCAGGCAACAGGAGATGAGTGATGTTTTCTTCTGGCAATCGATCACATTGGCATCTATTTTCAAATAGATGTTCATGTTATGAGTATTTAGGTTGCCAGGGCCTGGACAGGGACTGAAGAAAATCCAGAAAAATGGGGTAAATCCTCTTTTTTTAGCCATCTCTCTTTAGACCAGAGCTGAGCGAAATAATTCACCACAAATGTAAAAATTTGCGTGTGCTGAGGTGTGTGACGTGGGATGGCACCAATGTGATCACAGGTATTGAAATGAGAAATATTTGCTTTCTGTATTTCTAAAATATTTCAGCTGTCAGTGGATTTCAGTTATTATCAGTAAGTATTATGCAAACATCAGTATGTTCCAGTCTGAGTTGAATTTAGCAGTTGTTTGAGTGTTTGTTTTTAGTTTTGCCTTAGTTGAAAAAGCTGCGAATGTTTGCCTCAAACAACTGAGAAAAAGGTTGTTTGGAGTTTTTTTGCAGAAAAAGCAAATATTCACTTTGTTTGCCCAACTACAGCCCTGACCTAAGCAACACTTTGTCCCATGAGGATATACTTAATGAACTGAAATTAACTAGGAGGGGAAAAAAAACAGAATACAGTCTGACTCCCATCTCACTTTGAAGACTTTGCTGGTTTCTTTCATAATGTCATTATTTATTTTTAAATAGAAGTCTTGTTTCAGAAGCAAGCAGATATTTTGTCTTTAAAAAGTCATAAAAATATCTCTGTATTAGAACAGATGAAGTGGAGGATGCTTACAGCGATGTACCCAAGCAGCAAGATGTTGCCCTTGCATACCTTGGCTATGTGTTACAAACACAGTACGTAAAACTGAGAGCAAAAACATGTTAAAATACAGATTTCCCTCAAGATATGGACATAACACGATTAATGCTTTGCTGGTTCTTACATCAACACTCATACTGAACTGTGCAGAGCAGAAACAGTGTTTTCTGATACCAAAGTAGTGTATAGCAATAAAAAGGAGGGAGGGGAGGAAGCAACCTGTGTCTTGCCCAAATCTTGTACAAAACCATGCCCTGCTCATGCTGGGCTCCAGCAGGTAATTCTCATGTTTGTCCTGGTTAAAAGCCTTGCAGTCTTGCCTTCATGTCCTCAGCCAAACAAAAAGTCTCTTTTTGGTTAGAATTTGAACACATAACACCCCTTCTATTCCTTCATTTTGTCCCCTCCTCCAAGGTAATAAGGCCACAAATCTCCTGAGACAGGACAAGGCACGCAGCAGGTGGACAGAAGAGACAGGCAGTGGTAGCACTGTAGGCACAAGGGGTTCACACCTGGGGCTGACCATTGGGTTATTATAAAAGCTGTAACCTGCACCTGCCCCCAAGGTGTTCCCTGAATTGTCTGCTCTACCCCAGAGCATCTGCAGAAACACAGCGTGCAGGGGCACCACGGTGTTTCCAGGACTTGGATTTCTCTTCCTGGGATGGAAAAGAGGAACGGTAAGAAACCAACCTGCTTCATTGATGATTTTTAGTGTTAACACCGGAGATTTTTGTCTTTACCAGCTAATCCCAGCTCTACTGCTTAGTTGCTTTAGCATATGCCAGAGCAGCAGGTGCCGAGCAGGGAGGCAAATGGACCTTTGGGAAGCAAGAACCTGGTGTGGGATCCTTTGTGGTTTGAAATAAATATCAATGTTATCATCTACATTCAACAATAAAAGTT